GTGTATATATATATATATATATATATATATATATATATATATATAATCGTTTGATAGAGAGTAATAAAATAATACATGTATTAACTTCATATCCTAGTAATAATGTCTCGTTTAAGATATTCTTTTATGTTATGTATATCTAATTCTTACACTCGATTGTATATTAACACAAACATAAATTATATACGTATCATATATTTAAGTATCTAAATAATTCAAATCATGAAGACAAAGTACAATGTCCCATCAATGATTTCAAACCATTTAAGTACTTATTATATAATAATAATAAATATATTGTAGTATATCATTTTCAACCCTTTTTAACATGATTTAATTTTAAAATTTGTAAACTAATTACCCGCTAAATTTTATTAGTCTATCTTGTGAATATAGATCTCAAACGTTACATCATGTTTAGTCACTAACCACATGTCCCATCATATATTACAAACTCAAAGACAATAATAAATCATATATTACTATATATTATAATTTGGATTAATAGATAAAAAACTAGAGAAAAAAACAACAAAAACAACAATTAATTCCACCTTAATCCAAATATAGTTTATATCACAAAATGTATAAACTAAATGTTAGTATGTTACCAAACATATATATATTTTATGTCCTATTTGGACTCGTATAATTCTAGTTATAATAATTTTTTACACCAATAACCTAAAATACTTAATTTGCTAAGTTTATATTTATCTTTATTAATTAATAAAAAGACATCTACAAATTTATTGTCATAAATGCATAGATATTATTGCTACCAAAAAAACTTTGAAGAAGAAGCTTGTTGAGTAAAATTTTGCTGCTGTCTCCTACTCTCCATAATTATGCATTTAATATGCTCATTTACTTTTTAGGTCTTCATTTATTTATGTTTACCAACCTATTTGTTTGAATACATTTTTTCTTTGATATTCGGTAATTATATAGGAGCTCGACTAACTTTGGATAGTGTTGAAAACTTTTACGTTAAGGGTAGAGCGTTCTCTGACTCTGTATCAAGGGGACTCAAATTCGACACCTCTTGATTAATGATAAATGAATACTTATACCACTCAATCACAATTTTTATTGTTTCATTTGATATGATTTTACGTGAGGGAAAACTCAATAGTATGTTATTCCTCTTTTTTATATTACGTGATTTCGTATTACACGTCTATATTATTAAAAATAGCTATTTCATATTATTGTCAATTTACAAAAATAAGTAATTAAATAATTAGTTATTAAAAAAAAGTGTAAATAAATTTATAAAATTCCAAAGAAATCTCTAGTGATAAAATAACTAATATTAGTCTATTGTGCCATCAAATTAAACCCCCATGCTAGTTAATTTATAACCCATTCTCTAATTTTATACTAATAAAATCCAAAATATATATAAATAAATATTTAAAAATACTTTACGTATATATCATATAACTTTTCCTCAAGAAGGTTCGGACGAACTACTTGATGGCTACCTTCTAAATTCGCCGAGAATCATATTAATTCAACTCAACTAAACTGAAATCTCATTTTAATCAACCCCCTACGAATTAAACGAAATTAAATTTTTTCCTCTCTTAAAGCGTAAACCCATAACACGTCACCTAATAAAACGAATATTCAATTGAATCCCCGCTCGTTATCCTCTAAATCCTATCTAACTCAACCGAAATTCCATTTTAACTGAACCCATTACTAATCGAAGGAAATTCGGTTCAAGTCAAAATAAAAGACGTTAAGCTGAATCACCAAACAAAACAGAGCCGTCCGGTCCCAAAGGAGCGTCTCTCCAATTGGCACCTAATTTCTCGTTCGATAACTCTTTATCTTCTTCATCAAACTGCCATTGTTGAATCACACAGTATAATAATACTCAATTTTTCTCACTCTGCACACATCCCCATACCCTAAAAACTCAAAGAAAATTCAATAATCAATACATAAAATACTCTGTATTTCCTCCATTACTATGCACATTTAAGCTTGATCTAGATTTTTCCCTTTCACTTGTTTTTTTGGGGGGGGGTTAATGGGTGTACCGTATAATCGTAAACTTCCTCTGTTTTCATTGTGTCCCTTGTGAATTTCTTCCATTTAACTCTTCTTCTTTTTCTTTTTCGTTCTCAAGTGGATAAGGAATCTCTGTATTTCTTCGTTTTGTGTAAACGGGGAATATAATATTGCTTAATTTCAAAAACCCAGAAAAACCCATGTTTTTTTTTCATCATTTCAAGAGAAGAATCGAAAACCCAGTTGTTGTTTTTTTGTATTAAGATAGTTGTATTTTGATTTTTATACGATTTGGGTAAATGGGGAATTGTTTGGGGGTATCGAGGAAGTCGGC